TTAAATAAATTAAGTTACTTCAATCCACTTGCCAAAAGTCGAGCATCTTATTGGTCCAAATTGTCTCAATTCCCTTGTGTAACTTAAAAACCGCAATCGAGAGTATCAATAATCTACAACGGTCTCAAGGCCCTATAGGTGCTGTTTTAAATCTACCGTGCTCCATTGCCCATTCAGAGAATTCCTCTAAGCGACGTGGGCGGTCACCATGCTTCCATCGCGAAGCGTGTGATTCGACCGGAGTCCACGCCGATCTTTTCCGAAGTGGGGTTCGCACTCTGCATGCAGCACAAAGAGGTTAAAAAAATCTTTGACCAGCAAATAAATATAACTAAGAAAATGCTCTCTGAAATCTTTAACCAAGATTTAAAGTCTAGTAAAAGCATGTTAACGGAACTAGAGGAAAAAGAAGGAAAAAAAAGACGATGATCGTGCGTAGATGGTTAATGGCCGTGCGGTGGCAGTGGGTTATACTAAAGTACGGTCGTAGCTCTTATTTTATATCAGTATTTTTTAAAAGTTCTCCACACCTCGCCGTACGCCGTATAACCAAAAGCAATAATGCTGTGTGTATGTTTACACAGCCGGACGTTAGTCGGCCTCAATGGGCGTCTGGTGTCTGAGCTATACACCTACTTCACAAGTGCGTCGCAATCTTGAAATATCGTCACTTCCAGTATGAGCGAAAACATTGTTTTGCCGTCGCGACGCCAATAAAATAAATACATTTAGGATATAAGCGCAACCGTCACCTATCCTCGTTTTGTCTCTCCTTAATTTTTTCCCTATTTGCAGGTTGAAATGTTTTGTTATTTTTGCGTCCCCCATGCCGGGTATGCCTACCAGGTGGCTGGGGACGAGAGTAAGCCAAAAAATTCTATAGATGAGAAATTTAGCCAGTGCAGTACAACCGCTAGCCTGGGGCATTTAACCTGCGTCAGGCAATAGTGATACACGTGATACATTAGAATTGACGTGAATTGCATTGAACTGTACTGCGAAAAACTGATTGTACTGGCGCCATTGCAGAGGGTGGTATCCTGTCCTTTTCCTCAAGCACCTCGAAACTGTTCAGCAATAGCTCTGTACTCTATTCAAAGCTCGAAATCATATAAAAAACATCAACTAAGGCTAAAGTTTTTCTGTCGCACATTTTAGGAAAAGAACATTAAAATTAACATGGTCGCATATTTTTTTTTAAGCCAGCTTATGTCTTTTTTGTTGTGATATCAAAATGAAGTGTGCGTCTATCGTTGTAGACCAGATTGTTTTGCTGACTAATTACTTGTTAAGACGGCCGTAGAGTGGAAACACCTATAGACGCTTTGCACATGCGCCAGATTAGAGCCGCCATTGTTGCCTTTCTCTCGTCTTACCGAGACACCGAGCCGCTGAAGCGGGCTTTGCCGAGCCTCTAAAAAGGTCAATGCTGGAGAGAAGGACACAGTCGGACCTAAAAGGGCTATAACCTGTCGCGCTGTGGTAATGATGTATCGAAGTGATCAAAATAAAAGGAAACAAAAACTGAAGATAATTGGTTCTGGCGGCGCCCAAGCACAGCTGCTACAAAGCCTCTATTCGCCCTTTTTCGTTTGGCAACAAACTCAGTGGCGCCATCTGTTGGGTAGCCCAGCACACTTCCGGTTCACGAATGTTTACTAATTTTTTACTCATTATTCTTTATTCATAAAAGTACATCAAGTCTGACAGTGCTATAAGTGTCCATTTCCAAAAGATATAAAGCGTGCATATTGGATTTCGCAAATGCTGCGAAACCCGCCGTCTATTTCAGAACCGGAAGTGGTCGGGGGCTATTTGCACACTGGCGCCACCATGGCTGTGTTCCAAATGTTTCCCAAATTGATCCCAGTTACTCCGGCGGGTCGTGTCACATCACAACACAGATTGGAAAACGCTGGACGTGGGTAGGTTTTAGAACGCCAAGGAACAAAACCCTTACCCCGGAGTAAGATCGATTAAATTTTGGAACACGGCCCACGCTTCAACTCACGCGAGAAAGTGTGAATACTGGAACAGACCGCGATCATTGGTGACAATGTGGTTCTCTTTTACCCTTTGTCATCGTGCATCGTATATTATGTCCACTAGGCGATGTAGGGATACACTCTGCATAAACGGTACTCGTGACTGCGGTAATACGTGTTCGGTTTGCATGCGCAAAATATGGAGGACTCCGATATAATTGACGCTGCTGCTCCTAAATAACGTGCACTTTCGTAGACGCGTCTATTTCTGCAAATTCGGTGCGACACTTTCGCACCGAACAGCGACACTCTAAGACATTTGGTGCGCCTACTTTCCCAGAAATTCTCGGGCGAGCCAATCGCTGCAATCTAGGGTGGGTGCTCGGCTAATAACAAAACTGTAAAAATAATAATAAAAAGTCTGTTTTATTATATTGAGCGTGACGATTCAGGGTCTTACGGCATTCTCAATCCCGAAAAGCAATTATATTTGTTTGTGTTTAAACGTATTTCATTCACCAAACTCCCTCCGTATATTAGAGGCATTGGCTCTCCCGATAACATTGCGGGAAAGTAGTCTCACTGCATTTTTTTTTAACCTGAATCTAAAGCTAAATTTTAAAAACTTACTTTCCCGCAGAAAAAAAAAAAAAAGCATCTAACAAGGAGGGGCACTATAGAAGGATCCGAGCGAACGACAAAGCTTAGAACACTAGTAGATCTGAAAAATGCGCAAGTAAAACGTCATGCTCAATGTCCCTGAAAACATAAGGTGCTTTTTTTTCTTTAATAGGGGGAGTGTATTTCCGGGAACAACTTACGCCCTACGTCATACACCGAATAGCTTTTCTTTTTCTCTCCCGGTGTCCAAGTGTACTCGAGATACTTGCAAGTTGCAGTTCTACTGCAACGTCGAAAGATAGCGAGGTGTCGGATGAACTTCCCGTCTTTGTAACGGCTTGGCGACGGGATCCATTTGGGGCAGTCGTGCTGAAGCGCCTTTCTGTCGTGTGATCGGTCGTTATCTCCGTATTTGTTCTTTTTTCGGGTGTTGCCGCTCGCCGGACTCATAAACTAACCATCGTCGACGGGCTTCGTTGACTCACAAAAAGCTTTTTTCTTTTTTTTTTTTGCAGTGTAGGAAATAAGGTGAATAATGTAAAACAAAGCTCGTGAATATAACAATGTAATAATACGAACGGGCAGCGACTTCTATATATATATATATATATATATATATATATATATATATATATATATATATATCCGAACTCCTTAAATGCATGGAATGCAGCATTTAGGACGCAATATCACTTATATTTTTTTAGATTACATTGGGAACATTCAATTTGAGGAGTGAAGGATCTATATTTTATCAATTTAGCGAAGAAACTAATTCAGTGTCTGCATTCAGAGATGACTGAGCTTCAAAAAGAAGTGTAAGGGTAACCAGGGAGAACCACTGCATTGCTCTCTTTCCCGTAGTTGTCGATTACTTTATATTCCTCCATACAATTAGCTTAGTACGTCACGTGACATAAATTTCCCCGCCAAATTTAGCGGGTGAACTGAATTACTGCATATGCCCGTGGCGTCAAGTTTCCCGTTAAATTTAATGGGGAAACTGAATTGTTGTATGAGTCACGTGACATTAAATTCCTCGCGAAATGATATAGCGGTGAAACTAAATTAATGTCTAGGTCACCTGACATCGATCTCCCCGCAAAATGGTCGTGTGACATATTTCCCCGCTAAATTTAGCGGAGAAACTGAATTGGTGTACAGGGCTCGTGACAGGTCACGTGAAGTCCATTCCCCCCCGCTAAATTTAGCAGGAAATGCTAGTGTTTTTACAAGGTACCCGACAAAAGTACTTAGGATAAGTAAATACCTGCCTCATAAATATTTTAGTCTATGAAGTTACTTTTCCAGCAAAATATCTTGAGTACAAATACTTAGAAATGTAATTCAATTACTTTCGCAGACGCTTCCGAATTGCGTGATTTGTATCGACTTCATTGACACCAGAATTTTCAGTCCGCGTGTAACAGAAGTAACCAGAACAAAATCGCGGTGCTATTCTATGCAGTGTCAGTCGAAGAAGTAGCGTCACTGGTGGACGTTACACTATAATATAGTTTTAAGAAAAATTAGCAAAAAGGGGTCGCCTAATGTCCGTAGTTACCTACTTGAAAATCGCATCTACTCGTGATTGTATAGTACCTTGAACGTATCATTTTACTAATCGCCGTAGTCGCTATATTCGGAGTTCAAAGTACAAAAATGTGGGATACCTTAAAGAAGGGGTGAATGAAAGGTAAGCATGGCACTCACCGCGTTTTCGTCCAGTAGGTCATCCAAAAGCTGCATTCAGAGATAACTAAGCTTCAAAAAGAAGTGTGCAAAGGTATGCGAAAACCACCGCATTGCTCGCTTTCTCGTGGCTGTCGATTACTTTATTTTCCTCCGTACAACTAGCTTCAGAAGCGCGTTCAGAAAAGCGAGCAACTTTGGAAGGACACTTTGTTTGCTGTTTCAGTGCTCATCCTGCTCGTGTCCTGCTTCCTACGTGATTTGTGAGAATATCTGTCCTCATCAAAGGGTCGGGCTATCACCCTTCCCCTACAGCTGGCTCTTGCATAGACAGTGTTTCCATCAGTGACAGAATGGGGAAAGAAACGGACACTGTAGTCGCAGCGGGGTAGATCGCTTCAGCTTTGCGCTCGAGTATGCCGATTCCTGTTTTCTTAAAATATTCCAGCGACAAAATATTTCTAGGACGGAAAAATGTATTTGAAGTAATGAGTACAAGGTACTGAGAAGTGTAATTAAGATAGAGTAGTAAGGAAGCGTAAGGCGAGAAATTGTCCAACCCGATATCCTTGCACAACCTTTCATGTCATTCGCAGGAAATTACATAACATTTTGCCGTGCGGCAAGGGTATAACTAAAACAGCCAGTAATGACGTTGCACAGTATGCAGTTTTCAAAACAAACCAATTTGTCTCTTTCCAGGAACCTACTTCTAGCACGGCGCCCACGGAAGCTGCTGATTCGAGTTCAGGGGCAACGGAAAACACGACCGCGCCGCAGGCACCAACGTCGGAGGCAGCGACAGCACCCTCCACTGTCAAGGTGGCAGAATCGACGGCGGCACCGTCGACGACCGCAAAGTCGGAGGAATCGAAGCCTCCTGTGACAACTACTACAGCCGCTCCACCCACGACAGAAAAGGCTACCTCTGCAACTTCCACTTTGCCATCTTCCCCCTCTGGGCCGGAATCCGACAGCCAGGTTGCCAACAACACGAACTCGTCGACGACAGAGAAACCTTCGACTACGGCCAAACCGGGTGGAAACGTACGTACCGTGGCCCACTCTCTTTCGCTTGTAACGATAAAAATCCTGCGCATAGCACTCTGGGCTAGGTTTCAGCTAAACAAGTCTGTCCAAATCTCACCTAGCGTATCCTAACAAACGAAGCTTAACCTAACCTAGCTTAACGCAACCTAGCCTTACGTAACGTAGCATGACGTAACGTAACCTAACACAACCCAATGAAATCTAACCTGAACTATAAACAATGAACAGAAACTAAACACGAACGATTTGAAACTATGTACGCAAGCATGGCGTGTAGTTATTTCTGTGTATTATCTGCGTACAAATACACTCAAGACAACGAAAAATTCTGTTTATCTAGCGCAAAGTAATAACAATGGCCTCGTTCAAATATTATTCTCCTATTGTCGAAGTATAAATGTGCTTGGCGGGTGCCGAACGCCCGGTCCGGTGTTCGAACTCCAGACCCTGCACGAGAAGAAGACGACGCGCCTGTTAGCTCTGATTGGAGGGGAAATCGTGACTAGGAGATAAGGGTAGCTATAGCCGTTACGTCTACCTACTATCCTTCTTAGTGGAACTTCCGCTCAGACGTCCACCGTACACTCTAATCTCCTTCTTTCCTTCAGTTCATCTCCGTATAGGGAGTACTGAGGAAAGGATGCTATCGTTGCGCCCCCACCGGCTAAGTTGAAAACTAAACCAACAGGGACAACAACACTGATTTTTTTGTGTTTGAGACGCAGCGCTCGGTTCCCATTAACGAACACTGACGCAGCTGTGATGCCCAATATGCGCCCAGCGTTCAGTAGAGGTAGATGACATAAAGGATCCGGTCCACAAGTCTTGTTTTGGGTAAACACCGAGGTTTGTGCGAAAGAAACCGGACAAAGCGCCCTCTGAGGTTTGATCTCCTCGCCAATCACTGAGAATGAACAATGAAAATATGTGAAGGACTGCTACTTGGTTTCTGTTCATTTTATAAGTTGGATCGGTGTGCTTTTTACATGTTTCGCTCTTTCCTTGTGAAGGCATCTGCGTTGCGCTCCGTTCTTCAAGCTCGCTGCATTTCTCCCTCTTTCTCTGCCAACAGGACGCCTCCAAAGGTGCCGCGCTTTCTGTGGCGACGCTGCTATGCAGCATGGCTCTTCTGTACCTGTAAGCGCCGGAGTCAGGTATGTTTAAGAAACGAAGACCCGTTCATGTGTAATTTCTCACTTGGAACGCATCGGCTTGTTCGTTCACTTCCCTCGGTTCCAGACAGATCCCTCCTCGTTAAAAGCACGCTGTGTTTTCATCAGTAGTATGTTTCTATAGAGGTGAACACGTAAACTTGGAATGCACACAATTAATGTGGATTCATGCATCTGACCGCATTCTAACTCAGTATACGCTAGCAAAAACGGTTCTGTAGTCCTCAGAAGAATAGCACATACTATTGTTTGTCATTGACGCGTTGGAGCGCATTTAACAATATTTGAACGTAACTGGTGTAAGTATACGTTAGCAACCCTAATTGTGTCATCTTTAGAACAAGAACAGTTAATTTATGTTTGATTGACTCATTCGAACAAGTTTGAACGGATTTGAACGGATTTAGACTAGGTATACGTTAGCAACAATCTTAAAACAAAAGCATCATTACACAGATGGAGGTGAGATCTATATATACAGTCATATTAAACATTGCTTCCCATCTAGCACTACCAGAAGTGTTCTTGTGATAGCCTTAATCTCCTCAAATTCTTTAAAAACCTTTCTTCTTTTATTCATAACTTTGAATATTTCTGTTTCTAATCCCGGAAACACTATTCATATACAGACCATTTTTTTTTGTAAAAACAAAGTGACGAGCTCCTTAAAATCCCTTATTTAGGACATTAGCCTACGTAAGCAAAGAGTGTTTGCAAGTAAAAATATTCTTTTTGCATTTTAAGATCCCTAAGAAGCTAAGTTTGTGAGTAAAACTTGGCTCCTGTGATAAGACAGTGCAGAAATAATTCTTTTGTGTTCTTCCTGCCAGTTCCAGCTACCTCTGCACTGTGCTTTTTTTTTTTTTCCTATCTTATTTTGTTTATTTTGAGTTCTAACTCCAGCGTATTGCAGCGCCAGCGTAGGAGAGCGCTGTAATATGTATCTTTAAGAACAATTCAGAAAGCCCATGCTATGTACTGTTGCGGACAATATGAGTTTAAAAAAAAACATTGGCGCGTGATGGAACGCGAATCTAAGGTCTTATTCTTTAAACTTTATGAAAACTCGGGAGATAATAAAAAGTTGTGCGAATTACAGACCCGGAAAAATGTCGGACTGAACGTTGCGACCCATGATGTCTGTTGGGACACATGGAACCAACTCTCGAGAAAACATTTTACAGTAAATTGTGCTTAGGATTCTCCGTACTGCTGAATATTCCACAACGCAAAAAAAAAAAAAAAAAAAAAAATTATTGGCACCGTTTTGAACGTTTTTGAGGCAATCAGCTGCCTCGGGAACCTCAGAGGAAAAAAAAGAACTGCAAAAAGATGTGTTTTTTTTTTTTTTTTTGTATTTTTAAGCAGGGGGTGTTTGAACAAGAGCGCAAGTTTCAATTTCATAGTAAAGAGCACCATTTACTCAGAAAAGTGCCTGATATTTTTATTTCTGTATAAAACACCCACTGCTATTACTTGTGGAGCAGGATGTCCGACAAACGTCCCCCGCCACTTTGTACTGACAGAATGTTGCTCTTTTTCTTATATTTATTGGTTTATTTTGTACTGCCAGCCATTTACTGGCCAAGGCAGGAATGGGTGCAAATTGGACAGAACATGTAATCATCATACACAGCAAGGCATATTACAAACATAATTACATAATTACAATACATGGTAAATACATTACAACAAAATACATGAATACATTACAAAATACATGAAAAAGGCAATGTTTCGTGCAAATGTAAGTTCGCTTGGATCATTGACAACTGTTTCAGGCAGGCTATTCCAGACGTCTATACGCCTTTCCAGCACTTTCCATCCAGGCAATGAATGCTGAGTCCCTTAGCTGTGGACGCAAGCATGGCGTCTAATATTCCAGAAAAGAGATCTACTGCGCATGTCCAGAGCGCCTTCCACAGCCCAGTGGACTAAGATGACAGAGCCCAGAAGGCTATTGGAATTTAAAAACATCCGATGAGGACGTAACCGGGAATGGCGTTCGTTGTAGCAACATGATAACGGAGTTTCTGTGACCTCAATTGGGCGTTGTGAATCTGGAACGCATGTGCAACCTGTCACACCGTGGGCAAAACGACGAAATTGTTTCGAGAAACTTTTTTTTTTCTCGTTGCGTCGTGTTTGGCGACCTGATTTGGCCACCGACGTCGTGTGATTCGACACCCTGCGAATCGCGTTTTTCCGGGTTTGTGAAATCTCGTGTTCATATACGCACACAGACCACAAACAATTCCTGATCTCAAGGCAGATATTCGACCTGTCATTGGCGAAATTAAGCCGTAATTTTGCAGAAAAGTTAGTGCAAATTTTGTGGGGAAAGAAAAAGACTGTCAACAGTGTAGTGTAAGACATTTGTAGGACTCTGTATTTGAGCAAACTTACAGTTGAGCGCAGGCGAGCTGGTGTATATTTAACATCTTGATGAATTACCCGAGACACTTTTCTTTCTCTTCCAAGGAATTGATACTTCTAAGTTTCTCGCCCCAGTCTCGGGTAATTTATCAAGATGGTGTTTCAGTAGTCTGTCTACTTTCTGATCAAACAGAAATACCTGCACTTAAAAAAAAGCCTTTTATTATAAGTTTAAATATTGCTTTCTTGTGGGAACACTGTATTTCCAATCAAACCAAAAACTAATTGTTTCATACATTTTGTAAATATTTCTATTGAGTATACCTGGTGTTTCAGCGAAGATTTTCAAAAATCGCTAAAAATTGGGGTGAGCAAAAGAAATGAACTCTTTCCGGGAACAAACTCTCAGTCACAGCGGACGTCAAAAGTGGCAAGGAACATACTAATTAGCTAAATAATTAACTGAAATTTATTAACACACATTTTAATTAGTGAACTTAAACATGTGGTTTCAATTAGAAACTTTCTTAGCATCATCGAAAGCCGCTAAGTCAACTCCTTTTAGAAAGATATATGGCAGCTCCATCATTTTACGGTGTTCCAAAAAGACGCTGAATTTTTACGCGTTTTTATGTTTCGGCTTTCCATGGGAGTGCATTTTTGTGCCAGTGGACCCGCCCTCAAATGATCAAGGCGCGAAGCTGCCGCCTCACCTCCTTTGTAGATGGAACTAAGCATGGCGCATGCGCGTTGCACGCCTCTGCCACCGTGGGGCAGGACCGCTGGCGCAAGGATGCACTCCCTCGAATTGGAACCAAAACAAGAAGAAAAAAAAACTAAATTCAACAAGGTTTTCTTCCTTTTTTTTGACATCGTAAAATGATGCATCTGCTCTATAACTTCGCCTTCGATTGAGTTTCAGAAAAACCCTTTTTTCCCAAGCTTTGGGCTCTTGGCCTAGACACAGCTATTATCTATTAGATAATAGCTGTGTCCATTGTCCCAGTTCATAAGTGCAGTTTAGCTGGGCTAATAATCGTAAAGCGCCCTTTTCTAACATAACTTTAGGTGTTCCCCAGGGCGTAGGACCTTCCCCAAGTTTGTTTCTGATATACAATAGATGGCGTTCCTCGTGGAGTCAATTATTAAATCAGCCTCTTCACCGACGACTGCGTCATTCACCGTCCAGTCACACATCTTTTCAATCATCTTTGTCTACAAGACGACCTAACACGAGTTGGCGCATTGTGCGATAAATGGCTGATGCCTCTTAACCACGACAAAACAAACATAGTTCATGCAAAAAAAAATATTTTATTTATTTTTATTTATACTCACTAAGCGAAGTCGTGATCGGCACTACATCAGCATATAAGTGCCTTTGTGTTAATTTGGTTTCCTCACTTTCATGAATTGCATATATCAACATTGTTACATCTGAAGCATCAAGTACCCTCAGATACTTAAAACGCAACCTGAAATAAACACTTTGTTGCCCAGAAAAACAAACCTGCACAACATTCAACCCCCCCCCCACACACACACACAAAAAGAAAAACTAGAAAATGTTTTGTGCATTTGGCATGCTTCACAAGCCTAGACCTCTCCGATAAACTCGAGGCAATTTGAAGCCGTGCTGCTCGTTTCCTTATATCAACGTAATCCTACAGCGTCGGTGTAACACAACTTAAACAGCCCCTGAACTTCCATTAGTATCTGACCAGAGCATAAACTTTTAAATATGCCTCTTACATAAATTTTACCACAAAAACACAAATCCATATGACACCCTCGTTTTGCCTCCTGACACGATATCATCTCGCCCCAATCACAGTCTTTGCACCAGATGTATAACAGGCCTAACACTTGCTTTTCACACCTCGCTTTTTTCCACAGGTTCAAATAGAAACCTTCTAAGCATCACTGGAAACCACCTGGAACACCCTTCCAGAGGATATAGTACTGATTTCAGACCCATCCATTTTCTGCCCAGTCAGACACCATACGAGGTGTATGGTGTCATCACTTTTTTTACCAGGTTGTCATTCTAGGCGATTTTGATTACAATTGTTTCTATTTTGGTTTTGCTTCGATTTTTGTATTTTGAAATGTATATATTCATCCACAACCCAATTATGTAATGCTTAAAAATTGAAATATAGTGTTAATATTGGTTGATTCAGTGGTTTCCAGTGATGCTTAGCAGGTTTCTATTTGAACCATATGTTTATCTCTGCTAATTAAAAAGTTAATTGGTAAACTTTATTATTTGTCTAATTACTATGCTTCTTGAAACGTCCACCGTGATTGGCAGTTTGTTCCCGGAAAGAGTTTTTTCGTTTGTCTGTTTCGCAAAAACGTTTACTTTTAAGGGGTTTTGCGGTCTTCGGTGAAACCGGTATATGATAAAAACATTTTTTTTTAAATGTTTTAACTGTTGAATCCTGCCGGGCCAACTGCAGTGTATCTGAGTTGGGGGCTTACTGGGGGCGACAGTCAGCCCTCCCCATCTTCTACTAGCGAGGTTCCTAAGCGATTGGGATGTGCTCTCCTTTTCGATGTTCTCTAAATATTCCATATTCCGTCCTATTTTCTTTCCTCCAGGTCAACAATGTCGATCTCGACATTCGGGCGGCACGTCACTCAGCGCGGGAAAGGAAGATTACGTGGCGTACCACCAAGACGGAAATCGGGGCAGCAGACAAGGACAGAGCGTTCTTGCGTACAAACACACGAAAGCATTACACCGCAAAATTGACCGACCTTCACGATTGCGCAAACGGAATAAATGTGACATCAAGGCTTGGGTTATGAACAAAGGTGCTCTAAATAGTAATCTGCTAAAAAAAACTCCAGCTCATGAAAGAAAAAAAAAAAAATAAGTATACAAAGGACAGAAAGGCCCTCTTTCCGTTTAGAAAGTCCGCCACGACAGGTCAGAGGCCTGCTGGCGTGGTAAACGTAGAGGGTAATTTTAGCTTTCAAGGACATCGCGTTTTAGCTTGGCACGCGAACGAGGAATCTGCCAGGGGTCCAGTCGCCCCCTTCTTTGTTATTGGTAGCGTGCGGGGGACGACAATAGTAGTGGAAGTGTACTGCGTTGTGCATACATGGGTCGCCCCTTTATACCAGGCGAGTCCGTCCTTTTCGATATAGATACTTTTGTTTAGCTCCAAACTCTTTCTCGCGAATAAAAGCCTATTTCCGTCCAAATGGTGGTAACGTCGCGTTTGTCTAGTCAAGATCTAATGTGCAAAAATAGAAGAAAAAAAAGTATAAAAAGCATCGATGAAATTAATTTACGATTGGTATTTGATGTCGTAAGTTTAGACAGGTGCTCCTGAAACAATCCTTTCTAGTTTGAGGCACCGCTCGCTCTAGCTGTTGCAGTTCGCTGAACTTTAATAGACGCGTAACATAATTTGGGGCCGGGGCAATGAACCACTGCGGAACGCAAGTTCGTCTGCTTGCTTTGCAGGGGTTGCGTTGATGTCAGAACGATACCGAGCTCTGATTGGCTCCGGTTGGAAGGATAGTGGGTAGACCTCGAGGCTTCTAGCGTTGAGGTCTATTCACTATCCTTTCAATCAGAGCCAATCAGAGTTCCGTGTCGTTTTGACGTCACCGCAACCCCTGCGCAAGGAGCAGACGACTTTCTCTCTGCATGCCACCGAGTACGCAAGGCCGCGCATGGCGTCATCATTGTGGCATCATACGCTGAAGCTCAGCGAGAGTACGCCGCAAAGCGGCACACGCGTGTCTTGGCGTCGTCGCGTGTCAGCGTCGCGTTCGTTGTGAGATGCTGCGAGACACGCTAGCGTGTCTTGCAGCGACGCTGACGTGAGCTAGGTGGCACTGCGTGGATCCACAGGTGGTGTTGTATGGGGAGGAAGACGCATGCCTCGTCTTTTGGGTTGAATTGACTGGGCAGGCAGGCGTCTATATTTTCTATAGCGGGAGTCGTGTACAGATAAGTGGATAGTTGCATGTGTACGACTGACGGAGAGTTTTATAAGCGCGTGCGATGAAATATATGCGAAGCAAAATATCGTTGCAGCGTCGCGATGTTTGTATAGCAAACAGTTCAAGCTCAGGTTCAGGTTCAGAACCAGCGTCTCACCCCGCCCCCCCCCCCCTCCCCAATTTTTTCGCCGTAAAACAATTGTATAGAAAATGCCGTTTTAGGACGCGCAGTATTCTTCCGAGTATTCGCTCTAAAAAAACCAATAAATCTGTGCACCCCGTGAGACTCAAACAATACGCACTGTATAAACACATTGAACTATGCGGCAACACACGCACACTACTTTTCAAGCTGTGTCAGCTTCGCACTACCTATATCGTTATCTCTGTTTTCGTTCCTAAGTTTCTGCAAAACTATTCTGTCTCTCGTGGCTACGAAGAAATTTGTACCAGTGATGTTGTCTTGCGTTTTTCTTTTCAATATATGCGAGAGTTTAATAAAGATGTTTAACACGTTCAGGATCTGTAGCACGTGTACTTTTTTGATGCTGGTCTGACATTTTTTGTATCTTTCTTTTTCTTTTCCTCTCACCTATTGTTGTCCCTAGTAGCACATTTAGTTCTGTGAATATCCTTAGGACGCCCTTAGCATGTCCTAGGAACGTCTACAGAACATCCCCATTACGTTAGGCCATCTTAAGGACATCACAGAACTAAGTGCGCTACAAGGGTATGGACAAACACGCTGTTCATAAAAAATCGGCGTTTCACCACACTATTCGTGGGTACCGCGAATGAACAGAAACCAGATCCACGTCAAGTGATACGTCTGGGCATGCGCCACGCCGGCAGCAGCGCCATCCGCGTGACTCACTAGCAGCGTTCAACTCGCCATGACGTCACGAACTGGGATCGTGGCTACGTATGGCGACTTACGAGAAACAAGTTCGATGGGGTGGGAAAGAGGTACAGCTGAAGTTGAAACCATCGCATTCTTAAGGTTTATTCACACGATGCATCTTGTTGGCGAATCATGTGTCGCAAAACTAGGTTTCCGGAATCAGATGACCCGTGTGAGCGCAACCGAAAAAGTGGCGCACCTCCGAAAAAGGTTGCGCATGCTCCTTGCTTCTGGAGCAATCTTTTGGTGAAACCCTACCGAGGCCTGTCAATCTCCTGAAGGAGAAACGCGGACGCTGCCAATGGCCACTCGACTTGGCTATGACGTCTGAACTTCGAGGCGGAGCGAGCTTTTGGAGGAGTCTGATTTTTGGCCGATTCCGTGTCCGAGCCAAAGCCGAAAAAAAAAAAAAGCAAACAAGGGGAGAAGCGGTGACGGCGTTCAGACGATATGGGGTGGTGGCGCGGTGCAGATTCATCAACAGTCGCGACGAGTGCAAGCACCGCATATAAGCATGATGATTAGGGATAACTTTTTTTTAGCGGTGCAAAAATGTCCGAAATGCTTTGAGGTCATCCGCCTGTTCTTTGACGTTCACTGCCTTTCCCGGGCTTGGCAGGACTACTAAACCCAGTGTGCCGAATCTGACGAAGTGATTAGAGTGGTATTAATAAAGCAGACTTTCTTCACACTGTGCGTACCTCATATCATTTTGATGCAAAACGCTTGATATTCCCGGTGCAGATGACAACGTTTGGAGAAATTCTCGTGAGTCAATACGTCACAGGCTTCGCGCGTCAAACTACAGGTGTAGACAGGCCGATTTCGCGCAATCTCATTTTCGCTAAACCGTGGCGCTTTGAAAAGATGCATCGCGTGAATTCGCCTTTAAACCAACACGGTCGGCATTAAGAGTCTTTGAGTTCAAGTTCGTTGCACTCAAGGACATTCCTAGCAATGTATCACGTGAGGAGAAGTGCAAAACAACTGAAAGTCAAAGCACTTTTGCAATTTACTAAGACAGAAAGAAATACCAAAAAAATAAAGTCGGACATTACTCTCGTTCCATCGATAAAATCAGAATGAATTTCACTGAAGTCGTCACAGTGAGCGCTTGGCCAATCGTAGAAAGCCTACCTCTGGCGACACTTTTGGTCTCGAACGCCAAAAACAAACGTTTCTTTAGACGACATTCGAGCGTAGCCCACCCCGGGCAGCTCGTGGTTCGCTCACAACCCTCAGCGCCAGACAGGCTCACCTTTTTACTGCGGATTTTCCCACCTTCACGAAGGCATATGTGCAAAAGCAAATTGAAACGTGTCGATTCATGGCTGAACACTTCTAATCTGTTGGTGGCTTGTGCCACCTAGCACTTGTCCACATTGCCTGGTTTTTTGGCCATTTGGTAGGGATACGAGGAACTTGTGGCTGTCCTGAGACTCTTGAGTGATCTGTAAAGCGTTCGTCCTTTCCGACCTCCCTCGTTCTCTTCACCCCAAAATAAGCAGCAAACATCTTTAACGCGACCCCTGAGCATTCGCGTGATACATTTCGGGTGCTGTCTCCAAAGTTTGTTAAAGCCAACGACGAAGAGCAAGCAGTCACGTGACTCTCGTTAGAGGAACGGGGTAGGTGCACGTACGTGTGTATGTGTGAGTGCGTGTGTGTGCGTGGGTATGTATGTGTGCAAGCGTGTGTGCGTATGTGTGCGTTCGACACGCGCGCCTGTGTCTGAGCATGAATGTGTGTGTGTGTGTGTGTGCCCGTACGTGCGTGTGTGTGCGTTCGCGTGCGTGCTTGTAGGCGCGCGCGCGCGCGCGCGCGTGTGTGTGTGTGTGTGTGTGTGTGTGTGTTTGTGTGTGTCTGGGCGCGCTAAAGGCTTCAAGAGAGGTTCCACGCCAACTAAACTGCTTTCACGGTGCATTAAAATAAAAATGTGAATAAAGTGAACCATGAGTAAGTGATCTACCTGCATACATTAGAACATTTTGAAGTGAAATCATCTCTCGGACTTTAGAAAGAACTATAGGTGTTTTTGAACAAATGTTCTAATCATGCCCTGGAAGGCCATCATAAGAAGAAAAGGCAAGTTCCCAAAAGGTATTTTAATTCTGGTTTGAAGAAGAAACTGGTATCTAAATGGGCACCTCAGGCTTTCACAGAAAATCTGAAACACTCACAGTTGTACAAGTTAAATCATAATTGCAATGTGTCTGAACCCTTAAATTGAGCGGGCCTACTGGGCAGCGCATTCGTTTGACAATACTTTCGAGCGTGAAAATTACTTAGACCCGGAAAAAGAAATGTATTTCTAACACTAAATCGCGGTAATTTTGGTGTGACTGCCAGGATAGACCACAAAACCACACTAAATTTTAGCAGACCTTTCACACGGGATACGGTCCATTCGTCACATGCGCGCTCGTCACAGGACGATTGGTCACAGGACGATTCGTCACACAGGAACATTCGTCATAGGATGACTCGTCACGCGGCCAACCGGTCCTACAATAGTTCGTCTTCCCCAAAATGTATTGTTCAATTTGGTTCGGGCGCGGACAACGTGCCTCACCTCATATCTTGGTATGTCTTTGGCTTCTGAAAGGCGAAGAATTTGTAACAAACGTTTTAGCTTCTGGTTCGGTCCCGAACATTGAATGTTGGTTCGGCCTGACAAAGTGGGTCACCTCTTCTCTGAGCACGTCTTTCGCTTCTCAAGGTCGAAGAATTTGTAGCAGACGTTTTAACTTCTGGGTGCGTCCCAAACGGTGAATGGGGAGGCCATATAAAAGTGACCATTTTCGAAATCGGGCTACATTCAAAAGGATGGAGGTGATCGCAATAGAGAGAGGTGGAGCCATGCAGCTGCACGAAGGGTACTCGTACACAGGCATGCAGCAGAAAGAATTCCGATACTTATTGGTTTTCTCGAAGAGGTGTATGCAAGGCAAGGTAAAAACTTATTTGGCTGCCAGCCGGGTTATCGCTCGTTCAAGCCAGCAACTTAGGTCAACCTGCTGAAGAGTCGTAATATGATGAAAGGAAAAACGGATGAGTATCGTAAGATTAGTTTTTCTAACTATTGGTTTATGTCACAGTGGGAAGCCGTGAAACTCCTCATCAGGGATTGTGGGCGGTTGTTGAGATTTACAATTTACTATCGTCCCCTGCCCGATCGATGTGACCAGTTGCCCGCATGACGAGTCATCCTGTGACGAATGTTCCTATGTGACGAATCGTCCTGTGACCAATCGTCCTGTGACGAGTGTGCATGTGACGAATCGTCCTTATCCCCTTTCACACACTCCGCAGAAATAATAGGTTCACTCTTAAAAGGTAAATCAGCTGTAGAGCAGAAGGACACGAAGAACAAAGTGCACATGTGAGGCACGTAAGCCTTTCGTGTTCTCTGTCCCTTCTGTCCTTCGACTAGTTTAGCGCTGTTTTGCCTTTTTTTTATAATTATGTACCTACTAGCCCAACCTAATGCGTCGCTGTAAATGTTCGTACGCCCTAGGAAGAGTTCACGTCCCAGCTGGTGTCCTTTTGCAACCCGAAGACCTCTGAGATCTCTTGTTTCTGTCGGTAAGAAGAGCCACTCGGTAAAACCAATCCTCGACTTTTGATTGTCGCCTCCATTTTAGCTTTTAGTGCGGAGCGGGAGCAATAGACCATATGCTAAGCCATAATTATCGTGCCACTGATAGCCATCACATCGGAGAGGTTCTATCATCTTCCTACTGTGGATGAGGCGCATCTGCATTTAACTCGGTTTCACGATATATCGTCATGTATTTTGGCATTGAATGGGTTGTTATTTAACTTCGGTGCAACGGAAAAAAGAAAGACGGCCCGGAGATTGTAGGGAAATTAATGGCCAGCAACAAAGCCGCTAGACTCGTCACCAAAGCAATATAATGGTTCTCGACCATCCGGGTAAGAAAATGGTTTCCATCGAGGACGCTGTGTGAAGGTTAAGTGCTGGAGTGGCAGTAGTATGAGATCGTATTTTAGGTCTATGACTCCAGTATGGCGGGAACTTGATAATTCCTAATAAGTGCAATATATATCGCTCCTTTTGCGTTTGGTTTAATGGCGATCCGTGCTCACATCACTAATGATCCCTCCTGGAATATCCATGTCGACTATGTCATTAATAACGCTAATCAATCATTGGGTAACATCAAAATAAATATTTCTCTTGCCCCTGCTTCATTAAAACTTCCAAAAAAATCTTTAATTCATACTAAACCGGAAAATGCAACTTAAATCTGGGACCGTAGTATCACCCTTGCATCTGCAGTAGAATACATCACAATATCGCTCTACTCGTTTTATACTTTCTAACTGTCACCGCGCAGCTAGCATTACCTCAAAGAAATTACCCCTATCTCGAGTATCTCCTTTGTAGAAAATAATCTCTTCCTTATAGAAAAATATCTCTCCTCTGTTTGTTTCACTAATATTTATCTCTCTAACCAAATAGTTCACCAAGTGCTATTTTCATAACCATCGCATATTATCGCGCACCAATCATCAGCAATAACTTAGGATTCCCCTTTGCAGCACATCCACTATTAAGCATCCTTCTTGCACCAAAACTTTATCGATTGGAATCT